TTTTTTTTTTTCTTTCTTTCTTTTTTTTTTTTTTTTTTTTTTTTTTTGGGTAGCTTCCACAATTTCCGAGGACCCGACGAGGATCTCATGAGCACCCGCAGCGATCTACAACCATGGCCGGGATCTTGCCGTATATAATTTGTTCCTTCCCGTTGAAGTACAGCATGTTTATGGGGGACATCTTGGTGGGCGTGCAGCAAGGGCCTGCCGAACCTCTGGGGTTTGCTTGGTGTACCAGGTGGGTGTGGGGGTATTTTTGTAAAAACACAAACTCGCATTCTCCGGAGCAGTAATTCGCTTTGTATCTCTTAGGTGCAATAATCCAATCCCACCCGAAAGCTTCAAAATCCACGGTCAGCGGGTAGCGACAACATCGGGATTCCGTGGAGTGCTCGTCACAGTCGAGACCGAAATCTCGGCGGGACCGTTTCGGTGTGTCTGTAACTCTGACCTCTAAAAATGGGTTCTGTGAGGAGAGGAGAAGGAATTGGAATCATTACTGAGGTAAACATAAGTTCAGTAAAACCACGCAAATAAATAGGATTTCAGATGCAGGCGTATCAAATTAATATTCTGAAATCAGGTTTGCAAACAAAATTTGGACCTCCTGCAAGTGTGTTACGCTTATCTCTGCATTTTCCTGCTGTTTCTTTATAAAGAACTTTAAGACGTATTTGTTCCTGAAATCACTATTATCTCAGTACCAAATAATTTCTGTTACCTGCTGTAGGAACATTTCAGAAATTTGGAGGATGCTGGATTTTTTACATTTAATACTGGTTTTGTTTGTTTGTTTTAAATTTCATAATAAGAGTTTTAGTGAGTCCTTCTGAAACTCTCTCCATTAAAATCATATTGAATTCAGGCTTTCTGGATATCAAGGAAGGTTTCTTGTTGAGATCACGGAGGACAAAGTTTACTCCTTAATTGTTGGCATGCTTGAATGACTGAATGAATTTGGAGGGGCACCTAATATTTTGACTCCTGGAAGAGTCCTGTAGCCAGGAATGTACTTTTGGCAGATCTCTATGCCACATGCTTCCTACTGGAGGTGTGTTTCCACAGGCACCAACTGAGACTATATGGAAATTGCAACCTTCACAATCACGAGTTTGAAAATTTTCCCGAAGTTCCTCCCTTCCACACACTGATTCCAGCCCCATGTGTTGGTTTGGCACTAACCAGGCCATCCCACGAAGACCATTCCTTAGTGGTACTTAATGGCCCAGCTAACTTTGTTACACAGGTTTCTCTCTACCAAAATACCTGCCCTTATAGCTGCAGACTGTGGAGCGGCTGGAGACACTCCTCCCAAAGGTAAATGATATGGGGAGGTAGCTGGTGAAAGGAACATCCCTGTAGCAGGACCTGGAGGAAGGAGAAGAAAAATTTCCTCTCCTGTTATCAGCTGTGCTTTTAACCCTGCTCTGCCACTGAAATGCTTATTTATAGATGATGGTAGCCATGGGTTACCCAGAGGTATCATCATTTGAATGGATGGACGTGGTGAGGACATTCCTCAGCATGATATCCACCTGGTCTCTCTCTAGTGTAGGAGATCCACATCTATACTGGATGTACAATTAAGATATCACAGAGTTTTTTTCTTTTAAGTTCTTTTTAATTGCATTATACTGCTGTGAAGTTAAACATTACACAGCTACATAAATACGGATGCAATGGTCTTAGAGGTCTTTTCCAACCTAAATAGTTTTATAGTTCTGTCATCAACAGATTCATCCATTGCACAGAAGTAAAAGTAAAATAATATTCTTTATGTTTTATTCAAAAGGAGAAATTACTTGGTTGTGGTAAGTTTAGGAATTTTTATAGGTTGTAGATGATTAGTGATTTGCAGGAACAAATAGCAAGGAAAATGCTGTAGTTTAACTGGCACACTTCAGGTTTAGTTTGTTCATCTATACTTAGAAAAAGAAACCCACTTAGTTCTTTTAGGCTTTCTCATCACTGTTTATTGTATCAAGCAGAATTTATCCATTCAAACATTTCTAATAGGTGGAATGATGCACTCTATCACATACTGAAAGGTACAGAACTTAACATTATGAAGAAGATCTATTCTCACCTTCAAAAACATATAATTCTTGCTGTTATTAATATAAAATATAAGCATAGAGAGTAGGGAGAAACTGCCTTGCTTTCTTAGCAGTATTGGAGGCATCTTTCTTATCAGTGAAAGAATACAATGAATGTTCTTTTAGCTTTATATAAAATAACTGCTTATTAAGCAGTACTTGCTCTCAGATTTGAAAACAATGTTGTTTGTTAGTACCATCCACCAGTCATTACCAAAACCTTTTGTAGTTAATGCCTCTCAACATCCCTCTGAAATACTGCAATTTCTCTCAATTTTTTTAAATAAGGAAACAGAGGCAGAGGAACACTATTGATTTTGGCATGATCAGAGAGCAAAGAATGAAAGAATTGGATATACAGAACTTTTATCTTCCATTCCATAAACAATGCATCCATTTTATCCTTAAAACATTGCTTAAATGCTTTTCGATAAAATGAGATTTTTCTAAATAAACTTACCAATCCATCTTCACCCGGTCCTGGGAAAGTTACAGCAAGATTTCGTCCATTCTCATCAAAAGCTTTTATTTCAATGCCTAAATTGGATTCAGGCTGTTTGAGCCAATTTTGCAACACTGTCTTCACATCAATACTCTGCCAAATACCGGTGCCTGGATTCATGTCGAGTTTCAGAGATCGAATTCCAGTATATCTTGTACCATCTTTCATGGGTTTAATAAGTCTCAGGATCTGCACAAACACCGTTGTAGGTTTTTGGACTTGCCTCAAGTATATCCACAATTGTGCCTTTACTACTTTGTTATATTGTATTTTAGAGCTAAACTTAAAGAAGCAACATTTTGGTTTTCCCTCCATTTGTACAAGAAAATCAGCTATAAATGAATGGAAAGAACAGATTACTGAACAGGGAACAAGAAAAAAATGCATAAATAAACCTGACTAGTTTCTTCCAAACTGTAGAGGAAATATTACAATATGTTGTAAAGAGTACCAGTAACAAAGTGGATTTAACTTAATTCATTTTCTATGCTTTACACTCTACAGCAACTTTAATGAATGTCAACAAAATTATTATGCTATCACCTCCCACCTACTCACTTCTGCTAGTCACATCTTGAGGACCTTCATAAAGCATGCAGAAGAGCAACTTTGCATAAGCTGACTCAACACATGTGTGGTGATCCAGCTATTTCTAATTTACCACATAGCCTCAGTGTGCTGCACAGCATACAGCACTGGGCAAACTGCACAGACACTTAAATTTCGTTTCTCAATGGGAAAAAAAAATAATGGAGAGGATTAACATAAGGATCATTTTGTTTGCATTTGAAGAATGTTATAGGAAAGTCATGTGCAGTGCTTCGTTCCTCCTTCCTGTAGCCTGTGATGCAGCTGTCATACCTAGTCATGGCAATATCTTTCCATGCCAGGATAAAATGGGTAGCACTAATCCTAAATGGTGCAGGGCTTTGACATTCATAAATCTCATCACTTAAGATACCTGTCTCTTTAGTGCATTTAAAATAGCTCAAGGGCTTTTTATAAGAAGTAGGAAATGAACTCAGAGCAATGAAATACAATGGCTTTTCTTCAGTCACTGTAATTATGTAGCAGTTTGACCAAAAATAGTTATAAAGGCTTGGACATTATGGGCTGGAATAAAATTGCTGGCAGACCTCAGCTTTGTGATAAGGCTGCAGTAGTATAATGCTATTAAGTGCTCATCTTATTAATTAATAACTTGAAAAGTTTCACTAAAAGTTACTTTTTCATTGATGAGTATATTTTCAGCTGGTGAGAGCAGCTGATATTATTCCAGTGTGCATAATGTAATGATATCTGTGACTGCTAACATGCCTTATATGTCCTGTCATCTTTTTCCTTTTTGTCATCATATTCATAAGTGTTATTTAAAAAAACAGCTGCCATAGCCAAATACTTTAGCTGATGAAGAACATAAGATACTATAGTATTAGCTGTGCAAAAGATACTTGATAGGAGCCATAGCAGATGTTTAGCACTCAGAAGATAACTCAGAATCTGCTCATTCAGTAAATGCCTTCATTCTTCCTTGGCACGACTACGTGAGCTGATTGCTAGAGCGTGGACATTTTTACATTTAAGGCTGTTACACACATATTTGCTTTAAATATATAGTTTTAACTCTGAGGTGGGTGGTGCTAGTTTATGGGGTCAGCAGAGAAGCAAGAATTTAACTCTCTGCTTGCAAATGCTATAATATGTTGCAGTTAGGTAGGTCTAGTGCTCTAAGCTACATTTCTGCTGTTTTCTACTGCTTCTAAAATTACTGGCCAGTGAAACTTCCCTCACAAAAAGTATAGCTCTCTCATTTGCTGCACTTGTACTTTGTATTTATGATAGGAAATGCCCCGGGTGCTGCAGATAACGAAGTCAACTAAACTGCAGATCTCCCTTTGCTTTCTAAGGCATTGGGCAAATCCAAAGTGCTACGGGGCACACACATTGTAAGGAGCCGAAAAGGAACAGTAAAACAAAAGCTCGTAACACAGTCATCTGAACCTGGCTCAAATTCTTTAGAAATAACTCTCTCCTCCCTCCCTCCAGCAGACTTCAGCCAGCAGCCTGTTGGGAGAGCCCGAGGAGGAGTTGTGTGGCTCTACAGCAGGGAGACAACTCTCTCGGAGGAGCAGTGGGAGGCGAAAACAGCAGGGTTACTTACACTCCGTAGGCATTGTGATAATCGTTTCGGTGGTGGCATGATAGTCATCATCTTCCAAAGAGCCATCACTACTGTCATCTCTCTGGACGTCATACTGATCAATCAGTTCCTGCAGTGGAGGAGCCTTGGGTAAAAGTTGCTTAATAACATCCCTGCTAATGTTAGGAGCTTGTTCCAGGCGCAGTTTGCTGAGGATTTGAATTTTTATGGCTTCTATTCTGGAAGATTTTGTATTCTGTCTCCACGTACAAGCATTGCACAGTCCGTCTTTTTCAGCGTTCTCTGTGGGCTGACTACTGTCATCAAGAGCCACCGGATCAACTGAAATCAGCATGAGCAGGTAAATATAAGCATAGAGCACTAGCTTTTGCATGATCTCACATTCAGTGCAGCACTTTTCCCTTCTTTTTTTTTTTTTTTCCCCCCTCCCCCTTTCCCTTCCAGTACTAAACAGATCCGTGAAAGCAAATGCAATCTGAGAGACAGCTTGCCACACTGGTGTACCTTATATATTCCAAGGGGGCTTTTTATACTCCAACTTTGATTAGGCTCGTGTCGTCAAACCCGACGATTGGTTGCTGTCCCAACAATGAATCTGGCTGTCAGAGGGTAAAGCCCTGTCGATCACAAGTCACTAGACAGCATTTAGTTACAGCCAAGGGTGGACTGATTTATCTGGATACTTCGTAGAGGATATGTTCTCTGTATTCTGAAAGGATATATTTCCAAGTATTTTGGGCAGCAGGACTGAAAGACAGCACTGTCATTCTTAAATATTATACCAACCATGTATTTGTACTGTGAATTAAAATAGACCTTGCTCTAAAGCTGCTTTAGGCTTCTACCAGTCTTTTTGACTTGAAAGTTTGTTCTATTTAAAAGAAAATCCCAAGTGGTTACTGTTAGCAGGCAGGAAAATAATGCTTTTGAAATGCATTGCAAAGAGTACTAATTTATGTTATTCAACAACTAATACATATTCAACAGTTTCTATTTCAGAAAACCTTAGTGGTTTTTCCTAGGTACTAGTTAAAGCAGTATTGCAGATTTTGTGCATATATGACACTGTGCAAATGCCAATCTTATTTGTTTGTCCCTTTAGCATATATCAAAATCCACAGAACAAATCCTCTACTGAATTCACAGTCAGTCATGAAAAATAAGTGTGTCTCGTCTTCATACCGTCACCAGAATCCTGGGCAGTAAATTAGGTATCAAGAGATCTTTAGTAGCAAGGGTATTTTTGAGGAATATCTTTAGCTACTCATTCTAATATTATACAGGAATAGTCCATTTCACTTTTTTCATTATTAGTGAAAGCATTAAAAGACATAACACATTTAAATCTCTACTGTGTATTTATCTTCTTTTTCCAGGTAAGCTTTTCTTTCTCTTCAAAATATTTCTGTATTATGCCAACTTAAGTGATACCTTTCTGTGCTTTCTTTTGCTTTCTACTACTCAAATACTTAGAATTCTCTAAGTCCTGCTTATATGTTAAGAAATACAGTTTTAATATGCTTTCTGCATAACAGAGATACATCCAGATGTGATTTTATACATATAGGTTCTGGCTTACAAAATCTTCGAACAATGCAGTTCACATTTGATGTGCTGTTAGCAAGAATTATGGAATTCACACATAGTGGGGAGGTAGGGGAGAGTTACTGGTCAGCACAGGCTGTATGTCACAGGAAACAGAAACCCTGGAAGTGGTATGTATTATATGTATTTGTATATTTGGAATCTGTGTATTAGAGCAAAGGGAAATCCTGGAATTTCCTGCAATATGCCACAGTTTGCTTATCTAAGCTAGGACTGAATTGTCAGTTTCTCACTGAGTTTCTCTTCTTTTTCCATTCTCAGCACACTTAAAAATGTGTCAAACAAGGTGTTTTGCATGTGTTCATATAGGAAAAATGTTGGTATAGGGAAAGGTGTGGGACAGAACTCTCAAAGATTTTTTTTCTGCCTGGTCATTCATATTCTTTTTGTATCACCTCTCCAGGGCATGCAAATTCATTGTATAGCACAGAACTGAGCCTAATGTTCAGCCTAATGACCAGTGACATAAATCACAACTATTCCATTGAAATTGATTGTCCTGCCCTGGTGTAAATTTGATGCAAGTAATAGATGTATCACTCATACATTCCAAGCATATGGCTTTAGGGTCATATTCATCATCTTGATATTCTGATTTTAGCCAGAATCCACCTTTAAAGCCAGCAGTGTGCTGCCTTAGCTCCTGAGGATTTGTTTTTACACAGGATACCGATGCAGCTACTCGCAACATGAGGTAACATAAATGGGCTTGTGGTTCACTGGAACTAGAAGACAGGATAGATCTGACTTTGCACTGGACACTGCCTGTCATGCCTGTAACATATTTTAAACAGACTCTTAGTGCATGTCAAGTGCTAGAAATGTATTTTTATGAGAGATGCACAGGATGATTCACAGTAAGAATCTTTTTGAAAAACACTGACCTGTTGGGGAATTTTGGGGGGATTTAAATTGGGGTTTGTTTGTTTACTATCATGACAGTGAATGTCATACTAAAAGTATTTTTATTTTTTTGTTTTAAACTAGAATGACTTAACCATGTGGCTATAAAAAGCAATCTCCCATCAAGCAGAAACCCTGACAGGTACCAGGTTTCACACTAGAAACAGTTTAAAACAATGATCCATCAATAAACAGGTGGAAATTATGATGCAGTCATTAACAGGAAAGTAATGAAGTGTTCTGGCAGACAATGGCTAAGAGCCAGCTGTGAGGGAGAGGGACAAGAGATGTGCTCAGCAAAGCAATGCCTCCAGCATGGTGACTGCTCTTGGCACGTGCTCTGCAGCCGCACTGCTACCTCGCCTGCTCCTTCTTCTTCAGGGTCTTCCCACTCTGACTGGCTCACTGTGAGCAGGCAGAGCTTCACTGTTCTTTTTCCCTGCAATGATTCCATTAATCTGCTACAAGGGCCCCTTTGCTTCCTGCAGCATTTGTTTGTGACTGTGGGACCAAAGCCCTCTCCTGTAAGCCTGGAACCCCAGTGAGCTCCAAGCAAGAGCTGAGCTTGCTCTCAACCACCAAGCAGCTGCATTACTTTTCCTCTTCAAAAAGTCTGTGTAAAGAGCAATATTTTTACTTTTCCCTCATAAAATTCACTTCATATCCATCTATCCTGAGTAACTCTAGGCCGTTAGTAGAATACTTTTCATCTTGTGTAGTTGCTGGCTTTTTGTTTTTCTATGAAATTTCAAGTGTGTGGAAAAGAGCACAAACAATTGCAGTTGATCAGGAGCTATTGAAGGATCAGATTTCTTTGATCATAAAAATATAATGTGTAATTTGGTTTTGTGTCTGACTTTCATTGTAGTGTTTTTGGAAAGTGATGACTGCAGAGGTAGATGACAGAGGTGAGAAAATTAAGTGATAAAGTAACCAGGTAAAAGTTGTTCTAAAATTTATTTGGCAAAAAAATAATAAAAACAACAACAACAGGAAACTCCAACACATTAGCACCAGCAAAACTAAAGAAGAGTTAAAAATGAAATGCACATTTTACTGAACTTTATGGCATTTTAATATTGTCTTTGGGATTTGTGTCATTCTCCCCGTTGTGCCTGCCAATAGTGAATAGTATTCCCAATTCTGACTATGCAAAGATCATGGCTCAGGCCCCCAGGATCAAGTAATGAAAGAATGTTCTTTTCTAAAGGAAAAAGGCACACGTCTGTCTACCTGGCAACTTCTCCTTTCCCCCCCAGCCTGCACCAGGAGCTTTTGTACTCATGGGAAAACCTTAAAGAAAAAAAAAAGAAAAGAAAGAAAAAACCCAAACCCACCCCCTACAAATTTGACTGATATAGAGGTTTCAAAAGACACTGTTACTGTGAGTTTTATGGAAAAACAGTGACTGTGCAGAGGAAAAGGAGATTACTAATGCCCTCCCTGAGGAGAAGGCAAACAGAGCCCAACCATTACCCATCCTTTTTGGCAGCCTCTCATCAACCAATCAGCTTGTGCTCCTCTGGCATCACTCAGCACACTGAGCGCTCTGGACAGTCCACAGCCTGTCATCCTGTGCCGGGCCAGCGACCCAGAAAACACAGATAGGGAGCAGGCTGGGAGTTGAGCTTGTTTTGGGGGTGGACCAAGTGGAAATGGAAGGGAACCAGGACATTTCTGAGAAAAGGGAGAGCTGCAGGAGTACGAAGGAGCTGCTTTCCTGGCAGGGAAGGAAAGGGACATGGGCTATAACCCTGCCCAAAATCAGACAACTTCATCCTGCTCTAGGCTAGATTTTCAAACACTTTCTTATAGTCTGCAGGACCAGAAATTCGCTTTTCTTTATTCTATTGTTTAAGTTAAATGAAACAGTATGCATAATTTATTCGCCTCAGAAGGCAGAACTTCAAGAAAAAAGATAGGCGTTCTGAAATGCACTGTAAGTCTGTGATTGCTGTTCTCCTTTGATGTCAAGTCCTACCTCTGAACTAGTTGGCTTCTCTCCCTGGTTTACTTACAAGGAAGAAAGAACATTCCTCCTGAGCTGGTGAGGAAGATAGTATTTGAGTCATCTTTTCTCTCACTTTTGTCAACACGAAGATTAATTTCTAGAATACCATATTAAAATGGATAGAAAACTCCATTTTAATTCTTTTTGGACTCATCTTTCTCTTAGCTTCTATAAGCTGTGAATAATGTTTGTGAAGTTATTTTTGGTTAAATTTAAATTAAAAAAGCAGATATTAAATATAATTGAGTTAGTGTTTTAAGTGTTTAACTATGGTCCCAGCCTTCTTAACTCACCAGATCCTTGCTCTTAGCCACTTGAATCACAAGATAAATGCATTACTTTGAACCTCAAAGCAGATACAAGGTCATGTATGTAAAACACCTAGAAAGAACTCTTAAAATGACAAAAAGCCTGTAAAAACATCATCCCGATCACATTATGTAAATGCAGCTACTGTAAGGGAAAAGTAAGCACTTTTAAAGTTAAACTTATTACCATGAGGTAAAATATGAAAGCTGTAACTAGTGTGAATTCTTGCTCTGTAACAAATGCCCTGAAAGAGTTTGTCCTCTGCTATGTTCTTTTTTTTTTCTTAAAAATGTAGTCATACATAACCTTCTAAACATTGTGCTGAATCAGCTACAGAAAGTCAACTTCATCTTTGTTGATAGTATGAATAATTAATTCCCCAAACTTACCAAAAAAGAAATCCATTCATCTCGGTTTTCCCATTTCTGAGTTCTAAGTATCGTATTTCACACAGGAGAAGAGCACACATGGTGCAGGGTATGGATGCCTTGGTACACTGGCATCTGTGTGGG